CTAGTTAGTAGTACTCTAGCATTCCGCTTCACTACTCTGAACTACGTGAATGAGGTCAGTCCTGTCAGGTCAGCATTTGTATCAAAGTCTTCCCTACGCTATTCAGCACCTTTTTTATGTATGAGAATGCACATTGTCTGTCGAGATTCTACTCGCACTGCATTGTCCATTCGCTCATTTTCATCACATTGTAGTTCCTCGGTTATTACATACATTGCATATCTGTGCATGTAACAGTTGGTATCGGAGCTTTGCACGTGAATCAGGACAACTTGATCTGACATGTGTGCGGGGACTAAAAGGCTAGTTAGTCTTTTCTGTTTGATTAGGACATACTAGTTAGACCCCAAAATCACGATCTTGACCTTACCACCGAAAATCATTTTCTTTTTCTATTCTCAGATTTTATTTTCTCGCTATTCTGCTGTGGAAAATCACTATATCGCAACATCTGAAATTCCTATTTTCGTTTTTCTTTCTGAAAATCCGAAATTTCGCTGTTGAAAATCCGGAATATTTTTCTTTTCGAAAGTTTCGATTTCCTGTTGCATTTCCCGTTGCTTAGAAATTCGGAATAATTTCTTCTCTGAAATTCGTTTTTCTGAAAACGGTACGGGAAATACCTCCTGCGTTATTATTTTTCAAACTGCGAATCGGAATAAATCCGAATACGTGTCATTTCTGTTCGGAATTTTTTTTCGCAGTTGTAGGATTCTGTCATTCAGTTTGATAAATCATTTGCAGTATAAAGTCGAATTTTTTTTTTCGCTTTCAGTGATCATTTCGTACTTTAAGGGAGATTGGGAGACCTACCGAACTTGCAAAAATCGGGATTTTTTTACTTTTTTATTTTGCTCGAAATTTTTTTGCAAAGTTTAAACTTTTCTGTTTTGATTAGTGGCTCCTTATCTAAATGTGAGTGGGGCGATTCCCCCACCCACCCCTCCCCACCTATGTTGTTGCCATCTCTCGCCTGTCCGTTTCTGTTTGTACCCGGGTATCCCCCGCGGCAGCATTGGTGAGTTGCCACGTCAGCAGGCCACGTCAGCAGACCACGTCAGCAGGCCACGTCAGCAGACTACGTCAGTACGTCAGCAGGCCACGTCAGCAGGCTACGTCAGCAGGCTACGTCAGGAGGACACGTCAGCAGCAGAGGATACCAAACAGGCCCCGCCCAGTCTATGCTGTTGAGATCTCAAACAGCAGTCATGGACCAGAGGCCCGGAGAAGCGGATGAGGCCTATCAGGCCGGCATGCTGGCCTCGAGTACCGAGACTAAGAAACGGGCAGATGACGCTGCAGCAGCAGCGAAGAAGAAGGTAGAAGATGCCGAACAGGCACGTTTGCTCGCACACTTGAACAACAGCCCCAGCATGACGAGGCAGCAGCAAGGGCTGCCGATGAAGAAAGAACACAGAGTCATGAGAAGATATTTACCGGAGAGCGGGCATTACTTACAATGCCAACAGAATGGCGAACCGAGGCCAAGAATAACCAGTTGGAGGATAGCGCAAACAAGATAGCGTTCCTCCTCTCGCATCTCACGGATCTCCTGGCAACCTGCATTACACAGCAGGCAGAGATCCTTGGTCTCGACAGATCGCTAGCTCACCTCCAAGACCGTTTTCAGCGGTTGGAGCAACGACCAGTCGCTGCCGCCGACGCAGGCTCTTCCAATACTGCCGACCGCCTCAATGCATTGGAGATGCACGTCGGCTCACTCCAGGATGGCGCACAGTTACAGCTCATGTCCGCATTCTAGTTGGGCAAGCGTCCTGCAGCGCTTTGCTGGATAGCGGCGCGTCTCGCAACTTCATGAGCCAGTCTTTTATGAAAAGGGCTGGCCTTGGTGCACAAGTTCGGAGGAAGGCAAACCCGACGGCGATCAAGTTGGCGGATGGTAAGACGCAACAACTTCTCGACCGTTACATCGAGGCCGTACCCGTCTACTTCGCACCTCATGCATGCAAACCGGTGACATTCGATATTCTCGACACGGACTTCGACATCATTCTGGGAATGCCTTGGCTTGCAAGTGCGGATCACACGGTCAACTTCCATCGGCGGACTCTTAGCGTTCGTGACGCCTTCGGCGCGGAAGTGGCGTGTACTATTCCTCTACCGCACTCTTCGATCCGGCGACTCTTCACCCACGGACTTGTCTTTGGACCCCTGTGTGGTACGGTTGCTGGACAAGTTCGCCGACATCTTCGAGTCACCTACCGGTGTGGTGCCGGAGGAGCTTGAGGTCCTCCGTGCACAACTCGATGATTTGTTGGCCAAGGGCTGGATCCGCCCGAGTAGCTCCCCATACGGAGCACCAGTTCTCTTCGTCAGGAAGAAGAACAAGGACCTACGATTGTGTATCGACTACCGCAAGCTCAACGCGCAAACCGTCAAGAATGTGGGGCCTTTTCCTCGCATCAACAATCTTCTCGAGCGGCTGGGCGGCGCGAAGTATTTTTCCAAGTTGGATTTGAAATCGGGATATCATCAAATCTCGATCCAGCCAAACGATCGCTACAAGACCGCGTTCAAGACGCGGTACGGGCATTTTGAGTGGGTGGTCATGCCTTTTGGCCTCACCAACGCCCCGGCGACCTTTCAGGCGGCGATGACCAATGAGTTTTATGCAATGTTGGACCGGTTCGTGCTGGTCTACTTGGACGATATTCTCGTCTATAGCCGTTCATTGGAGGATCATCTGGGGCATCTTCGACAAGTGTTGGAGACGCTCCGCCGCGCCAAGTACAAGGCCAACCGCGACAAGTGTGAATTTATCTGGCAAGAGCTGGAATACTTGGGCCATTTTGTCACACCGGAGGGCATCAGTCCGCTATCGGACAAGATTCAGGCCGTGCAAGAGTGGCCGGAGCCTCGGAACGTCACGGATGTCCGCTCGTTCCTCGGTCTTACCGGCCACTATCAGCGTTTCATCAAAGGCTACTCCAAGATCGCGGCCCACTTGAACAAGCTTCAGTGCGAGGATCAACCGTTTGACTTCGGAGAGGAGGCGCGGGGATCATTCTTCGCTCTCAAAGCCGCACTATTGTCTGCGGAGGTCTTGCGGATATACGACCCGCTCGCGCCTACACGTGTCACTACGGATGCGTCAGGCTATGGCATTGGGGCAGTCCTCGAGCAACATGATGGTGTGGACTGACACCCGGTCGAATACTTCAGCAAGAAAGTGCCTCTTGTGCATTCTATTGACGATGCACGCAAGAAGGAGCTCCTCGCCTTCGTCCACGCGCTCAAGCGGTGGCGGCACTTCCTCCTTGGTCGAAGCCAGTTTCGATGGGTAACGGACAACAATCCGTTGGTCTTCTACAAGACCCAAGACACCGTCAACATCACCATCGCTCGATGGATGGCTTTCATCGACCAGTTCGACTTCTTTTCCGATCACATTCCCGAGAAGTCGAACCGTTTTGCGGATGCTCTCTCACGGCGTCCGGATCATTGTACCGCAGTCTACTCGACCTTCGAGATTGACTACAACCTGCGGAACAGCTTCATCCGCGGCTACCAAGCCGACCCCGAGTTTTGCGACAAGTACGCGAATTGCTCCTCTCCTAATCCGGCTCCTTCTCACTACCGGATCCAAGAGGGGTACTTGCTTGTCCACACGCGGGGGAAGGACCTTCTCTGTGTACCGAGTGATCCTCACTTGCGTACACGGCTTCTTGGCGAGTTCCACGACGCTCCCGCCACTGGACATTTTGGAGTCAATTGCACGATTGGCCGACTTCGCCAGCGATTTTGGTGGCCCGGCCTTCTCGGCGACGTCACACCCTATTGCGAATCATGCGAGGTTTGCCGACGCTGCAAATCCCGCAACCATCGTCCGTACGGCGAGTTACGACCATTGCCAGTCCCGTTGCGGCGAAGGGAAGCGATTGCCATGGACATTACCGGCCCGTTCCCCAAGCACAAGACCGGAGTGGATGGGACTCTCACGGTGGTTGACCGACTCACCAAGTTCGCCATGTTTTTGCCTTGTCGCTATCATGCCAAGGCACCGGAGTTGGCCGAGGTTCTTTACGCCGGTTGGATTCGCACCAAGGGTTACCCCAAGGAGATCGTCTACGACCGCGACACTCAGTTCATGTCCGATTTTTGGTTGGCGCTCATCAAGCGATGGAGCTCATCTCTCAAGCCCAGTTCGGCTCGCCACCCTCAGACCGATGGCCAGACGGAGAGGGCGCATCAGACCGCACAGGTTCTCCTTCGCACTCTCATCCGCCCCGACCAGAAAGACTGGGTTGAGCGACTGCCGGACGTCGAGTTGGCCTACAACTCTTCCATCCACCCGGCTATCGGGATATCGCCCTTCGAGTTCGAGCATGGCTCGCCGATCACATCACCGTTGGACACTATTACTCCACGCACGGGCGAGAGCGACGACCATCTTCTTTTCTTGCGTCGGATGCAAGAGCTTCTTGTCAAGGCACGCGACCAGATGGCTAAGACGCAACAGCGCATGAGCCAGCAGGCCAATCGGCAACGTCTTCCTTGTCCATTCTGCGCCGGGGACCTCGTCTGGGCTTCCGCCGCGGAATTCAGCCTTGAACAAGACATCTCTCGCAAGCTCCTTCCGAAATGGATGGGGCCTTGGCCGATTATAAAGCCCGTTGGGGACGCACCCGAAGGACCCTCCTTCACGATTCAGGTGCCTAGCCACTTGCCTGTCTACCCAGTCTTTCATTGCTCCAAACTCGCTCTCTACACGCCAGCGGATCATGACGATTTCCCCGGGAGACGTACGCAAGACACACCTTCTATGGATGGTTTTCAGGAGGTCGACGACATCATTTCCCAGCGACGCTTTGGCAACAAGCCAATTGAGTACTTAGTGCATTTTGCATACTGCACACACCGAGCTGACCGATGGTTAACCCGTGCGGAACTTCAAGCAACAGCTCCAGACGTTCTCGCACGCTACGAACGCAAGATGCAAGGCAAGCCGGTTTCTTCGGCTCCCTGCCGCGCCCGCGTCCAGGTTCCACCTTCAGATCGACGGCTTCGCCCTCGCCCCGACTTGACTTCATAAGGAGGGGGGGGTGTCACATGCTGCGCGTGCACACGCAGGCCATTTTGCAGGCCTGCGTCCTTCAGGCCAAAAGCCTGAACTTCAAGCTGAAAGCCTGAATTTCAGGCCGAAAGCCTGAAATCCAGGGCTTACAGGCCCCCTGGCGGTTCAGGCCGAAAGCCTGAATTCCAGGGCCTGTCCCTGTGTCGCTTCAGACTAAAAATGGCAACGGCCTTTTTAGCCTGAAACGAAGGGCCATTTTCGATCGTTCATCAGAACGACCGGCCCTGAAACTCAAGCACCGAACCAGGGTTTCGGGAACAAACTATTAATAGTCTGTTTCCCACGCCAGCCTCAAGCAGGCTGCTGCACGCCAGCCCCTGGCACACTTCGGCATTGGCAAGAGCTGCCTCCTCGGCCTGACTGGCCTCCAGTAGTCAGGAGGCAGGTCGAGGTAGTACATAGGACTTCCCAGGCACTTCCGAGG